AATTATTAAAATTTATAATTGTTGATAGTCAATCAAGCTCGAAATTTATTAGATAAGAGTAAAAATGGTAGTGTATAATAAAAATCTTCTTGACATTCAAACAAAATCTTATTTATTTATAACTAGGACTTGATCCTTTTTGTACAATTTCTATGGGAAAAGAAAAATTTCAGACTGCTGTATGTGAAAAAACTTGTTCACCCGATTGGCATGAACAATGTGATATGTAAGACAAGCAAAAATAAATTAAAAATAAAAATAAAAAAAAAGAATTTTTCTTCAATAAATTTTCTAGGCCGATTGTTGATGATGCAAGAATAAAATTAACTGTATATCATAAAAGTAAAAATTCTTTATCGAAAGAAAATTTTATTGGTCGTGCTTATATTTCTTTACGTGACTTACACGATTATGATCGTGTTCATACAAAGTAAAATATAAATCTATTTAATTTTATTAAAATTTTAATGTATTTAGTTGGTATAAATTAACTGATAAAGACGGAAAACTTGATAAAGATCGTGGAGAAATAGAAGTATCATTACAATTCTATTCGCAAAATAATACAACTGGAAGTGTATTGGATTTAGCAACGAAAAAAAAACATTTGTCACTCAAAGACATTAGACATTCGTTAAGTAAGTAAAATATACATTTGTTTAAACAAATGTATATCTTACTTTATTTCAGGTGAAAAACTAAAACCATCAAAACATCGAAAACAGGACCAATATGGGAATGCAAATCAGGTTTTAGGATATCATTAAATCTTTTTTTTTTTCATAGTGTAAAATCGTTGTTGTTTCAGTTAGCTGATCAGCGTCATCGTCTGGGTGGTGACGATGGTAGTGTGAATAACGTGCGCCGTCTTGATGATTCAACATCTGAAGTGAGTATATGAAATATTCGTTTACTAATTAGCTAATGTCTGCTAATTCTTGTTTTTCTTTTTATTCACTCATAATATTTACAGCGAACATTTTCAATATTTTACTATACATCAGACATAGCATAGTAGAATTGGCATATTCGATGAGTACTTCCCCTCATTGCATATTGATGATAGAAATCATTAAAATTTTTTTTGTTTGATCTTGAGAAGCAAGAAGCTGAAACTCTCTTAATAGGTTTTTTTTTTAATATATATTTAATTATAAAATTTTTCTAGTCAGTGTCATTTGTTGGTTCATATACATCCTTGAATAGTCTACCATACAATGATACCAAACAACAAAAAAAGGTATGTAAATGGAATTATTTTATTCAAGTGTTCATTTTTTTTTCAAGACGTTATCCTTGAGATACATGAGTATATAGATTTTTTAAAGCTTTCTATATCATATTAAAAGAATCATAATAAATGTATGTATGTGTGAGTGGATTTTCTTGAGCACGAATTTTTTGCTCTTGTTCAAATCCAAAGAATTGAAGTAAAAGAAAATCGTATTTTTAAACAGAAATCACGTGCTCCAAGTAGTGGTATTGGTTCAACATTGGATAGTGAAACACCATATTCATCACGTCGTTCAATAACATCTGATTATGAAACATCATCAATACTTGATTCAGCATCGATGTATGCTGGTGAAGAAACTTCAATACCATCACCATCTAATCGTCCTCAAATTCAAGAACAACATCGAGAAGAAATTTCTGTTGATGATAATTTATTATCATCAAATCCTTCAAATAAAAAGAAAACTAAAGAACCATTACCATCATTAAATGTACCGACAATTATCATAAACGAATCTTCAAATTCACCTTCATTACCAATATCAACAGATTATAATCGAAAAATTTCAATTACAGGTGATGATATTGAAGCAGCATTTGATTTTGTTGATGATAATAAAACTGCAATAAATAAATCTAAAGATTATGAAATAACATCAACATCTGATTCATTTTTTGGTCTATCAACAATAAAAGAAATTTTGGATACAGATGAAACTATTCTCAGTTCAACTTCATCAAAACATCTAAAAGATGAAGAGATCGATTTTAGTAATTATTTTAATCGAATCAATCAAACAAATGACGATAAAAAAACTAAAAAATCTGCTTTGGATATTCTAAAATCAAAATTCATTCATCATTCAAAAGAACAACAACATTCTATACGTTCACAATCTGATGATATTCAAACACCATCTGCATCTATCTCTGTAAAACTTAATACTACTTCAAATTCTTCCATTACTCTTCCCACAAAAAAACAATCTAATGATATAAATGATTCAACTGATGAAGATGTCGATGAAGTTTTAGGAACATTGGAGGTAAATATATCTGGAAAATGCACGCACACATACATACACACATTTCTTTCCTATCTTTTATTTATACAAAAAAAAAAAAAAAGAAGAAAATTTTTCATCTATTGCACGTTACATTGTTTTTGAATATGTATGTGTGCAGTGTATTTTCCGATTAGAAATTTTCCATAAGTAAAAAAAGACAGCTAGTTTAATTTAGCGTGTATCCAGTATGCGTTCTTCGGTTAGACGTAGAATTCAACCCCGAGATGATTTTATGCAACAATCATTGTCTGAGGTAACATTCGAATTTTGTTTCTTAGAAGAATATTTCTTTAATGTTCAAATCAATAAGAATTTGTATGATTTATTTAGACTGATAATAAATGGTCTAATGGAAATGATCAAACACTATCAAATCGAAATACGAAACTAACGTTACCTGATATTGTTGGCCAACCATCAGTGAAAAGTATGAAACTAAGTTCAATAGTTTACATAGATTGATCAAAAGGATATTTAGATCCATCTCAATATACGACTTCTTCTGGACCTAAAAAACTTACTAATAACGGTCTTTGTGTACTTGGTTATGAAAATATAAAAAGTGTTCCAATTAATCCAAAAATTCGTCAGGAACTTGATTATCTTGATCGTGAAGTACGAGATTGATTATTTCATTTTATTTTCAAAATAATTCGAATTCTTTTTATTTTTAGGAACTTCTTCATGTAATTGCTTATCAATCGGATTTAATAAAAAAACGTGATACACGTTTAAAAGATCTTGAATGTTATACTGATGGTTTACTTGTTAAAATTGTTGAACAATGTCCAACTATACTTCAAGTAGGAAGCTCTTTCAGGAGACAATCATATATACATTGCTCACAATAATTAAAAGCTGCTGTTATTATATAATATATAGACTTCATGCGCTGTTTGTGCTTTTTATTTTTTGTTATTTGCTCTATTGATGTTAATGATTGTTAAAAATTCATATTTTCCTTTAGAATGGAACTACTATCAGGATCAAAAGAAAACCGTAATAGACAAATATTTGTAGGAGTTTTATCAAGAGATGATTGTATGTTTTCACTTTATGCTTTTTTCTCTCTTTTGCATAACCTGTGACAAAGTTAAAAAGGTTTGTTTATACTCGGATATGCCGGTGTCTCCTTTTCTTTGTATGTAGTTGGTCCACTATTAAGCTAATAATTTTTTTTTTTCGATGTATACTATGTGAAATTTGAATGCAAAATTTATTTAATCCTACTTGTGTGTGTTTGCGTATAATTTTTTTCTCATAGTATTTTGTTCTTCTTGGGGTGTTTTGTCCTTTTTTGTTTTTATTTATTTGCGCATTCATATTCGAAGAAATAAAATTTGATGCACAAATACTTTCGATATTTTTTTTGATTAGTTAAGAAAAGCTTATGTTCTCCATGTATAATTTCACTTGAGAAGCACGTATAACGGATGAATCATAATGAATCGAGCTAAATATAGATATGAGTGTGTGATTGAAAGTGATGCTGTGGGATTCAATTAAAGACTCGTACTCTCACTTAAACACTTCACTCTTGCCCTTAAGAAAAGTTTTGTTGATTGCAGCGGATTTGGAACGACAAATGTACGTTAAAAAACTGCTTGGTAGCATATTTATTCAAAAAAACTGGTACTCATTAAATGTTTTCCTATAATAAATTTCAAATAATTTACTACTAAAATTAATAGGAATGTGTGTGTGACTTGGTGTGACCAGAAGACTTTCATCTACGTCCATACTCTAGAAAAGAGACCAAGTATCGATTTATCCGGTCAATAAATTCACCAATTATTTTGAATGCTGAAAACTATCAAACAAAATGCATTAGGAGCAATGAGAGAATAATAAAAACAGAATAAATATATGGTAATAAATAGTAAGAGAATCAACCTTTCTTACCACTTCTTCATGAAAATTCTTTTGATGTTCTAATATCGTCTTTCATCTACTCTTGCACTCTACGTCAACAAGTTATATTTGTCAAATTTTTCTTTTCTTGCATACAGCTCATACCACAGCAGCTATCATCATTCATTCGTCTCTCGTCTGCCTATCTATAAACAAACTTCTTTTGTTTCTTTATATGCTACTTGTTATGTTCTAATATATTGCAATCTAAGTCGAATGAAATATATCAACACAACAAACCTACCACAAAAGAAAGCTATTCATGATCATATATTCACGTCTCAATGATTAGATGGCTGGTAAAAAAAAATAAAATTAGACCAAAAAATTGATGCTCTTGTACAGGAATTCTCTCACAAGAGCCGTTATTTTATCAACGTTATGTTTCGACGGTTCTCTACAGAACCAATTCAATCAACTTGATGTCATACATGATCTTTCTTTATTCTCTAGATTTATAGAACTTTTCTACTTGCTTTCATTATTGATTTAACTTTATCACAATTTCAAATGCATTTTTATATACTATCTGACTGTTACATTCATAATATGTGTTGGAAAATATTCGAGATATTTTTCTTTTTTGATAATTATTAATTTCAAGACTTTATTTGTAACGTTGCATTTTCAGAATTTGCATTTCTTATTCTCTCAAAATTATTGCCTTTAATATATATATATCTTGACAAGATTTTCTTTTTACATCACTTCTTTCTACTCTATTCATTCCATGTCTTTCTTTTCCCTGAAAAGATGTTAGAAAGTTAGATTAAAAATAGTGCAAACTATTCTTTGAACATTATTTATATTTACTATGCATATATTTTGCTTCTCCTTCTTTACAATAAGCTTGTTTCGGACAAGTTTTATTTTCATTTCAATATATAGTCATATATAAATTGAAGATTAAAAGGGTATGCACGTGAGTATGAGTGAAGACCAGGCCCACATCTACACTCACGATGATTTAGAGTCCATTACAAGTGGACTTGTTCGACCTAGAATGCTTTTTGAGACGACAATCATTCTTATTAAGAAGATCCGCTTAGGAAATCGAATTTTTCAAAAAAAAAATATCAAAGTTGGCTTTTTATCATAGGAAGATGTAGCGAAGTTTCCTCTTTCAGAATATATATAATTTTCTGGGAGATGATCAGATTTTTAAAGACTTATCACATGAAACTTTGACTTTACTACCATATTTTCGGAGAAATTTTCGTGATTTTTAAAATCTTTCAGTTTTGGAAAAACTGCGTTGCCACTTGCATTATCATTGAATAGAACATTTTTATATTAACCAGCATGTCAGATGGCGTTAGCTACCTTTATCTATTACGTATTTTCAAACAGTTCACTGGAATATATTAAAAATATACCATTGTAATATGATTTGTTCTAGATTTGAATGAAAAATCCATTTCTAAAACTTCTTTAACTTTTTTCTCAAAACAAGGTTTCTAGGTAGGAAAATTGAAATAATTCCCACTCGGCTTGGCGTATAATCGATATTTTTTTTTTGTTTTAAAGACCTTAATTAGAGCTAAATTTTTATCAGACGAATTTTTGATATTTGATTCCTGGACTGAGAAAAGTTGGATTTACTGTCGTAAAGTGACATTTTTTAATACTTATTTTGAATACCATGTTCCATTAAAGTGCTCACAAAAAATGAATGGAAGGGAGTTTCAAAATTTCATTCGATGGAAAGTTGCGCACAAAAGCTAGCTTTAATTTGAAATACACTCGAGCTCTGCATCACTTCTAACAATGGAGTTATTTTGATTCTCCTGGAAGGTAGGCAAACAAGCCGAAAGGTCGGTTTAGTAGGGTATATCAGGCTGAAATTTTTACCACAAGCGTTTCTCACTAGGACTAATTGTTCTTGCAAGTTTTAGTCCAAGTGATCGATTCTAAGTGGTAAATCAATTCTAAGGAGGCGATTTTCTTAAGCGTTTTGACTGTCGATTCCTTACACTTTGTGGCATCAACCTCAAAGGTTATGCTAATTTTCATTGAAATATCTTTGTTCACTATATTCATCCATTTTTTAAATATCTTCTTTATTACAATGTAAGAAAACTCGACTGACAGACAATCCAACACTATATGGCTTGAGTTGGAAGAGAGTGTGGATTTCTTTTCACCCCATCCTAATCGATACATTGAATTTGTATTTAGCAGCCCTTTTTAGTTCTCAATCATCGCCGATATATTCCTCCTATAATTTGTCAGAAACCATACATGAAGTTTAGAAACGATATTATCAAGTAACGTCAAGTGTTCCATCGACGGATTTAACATTGCCAACAAGCCTTGGTCAACATTGACTTTCGTCGTTCTTTCTCTGAGAAGGGTATGACTGGATTGTGGTTGTTGAAGAGATAACTTACATCCATCCGCACATTCATACCAAAAATACAATCAACTCTCACTAATTTTCTCTTTACTGGCATCCTTCAATACTGTGCAACAAATTCCATAAGATATGAATGTCAATTACTCCTTTTTCCACTCGCATCAATGAATGAAAGCAACAGATTTGAGACGATTTTAGCTAATTATTTATAATTTCGTGAGTAATGAAAACGGAACTATTACTGTTGTTCTTGTTTGATCAACATTAATCATAAAAACAAGTAAACGAAAATCATGTTAAATTGAAAAATTCTTGTAATAACTTTGCATTGATTTTGAGATTATTTGTCCATTGATCATTTTTCAGAACTTGCTTAGTCACGAAAGCACTCGTGGCCAGTATTCCTAGGAGTGGACAGTTCTGCTTTGTATCTGTTTGTAATACAGATGGTTTCAGGTAAGGTGCATCAGTCTCAAAAACAAATCGACGATGATCTGTGCCATTTGATGCTGTCCATAATTCATTTATTAGTTGATGTAGATGTACTTCTCCGGAACGAGAGCTCATGCCCCCAATGCTTAATAATGATGATGGAAAATAATTGAGAAACTCTCGATAGATTGGTACACCTTCAGAATGACAACAATGCCATTGAATTTTCATTGAAGAATCGAGTACATGTTTACGTAGAATATCGAATAATTCCTCATCAAGTGTGCGACAATGCAGAATAAGTGGAAGATGAAATTCGTTAGCTAGTGAAATTTGGGCAACAAAGATTTCCTTTTGTAAGGACATTTGTTGAGTATTAAGCTGATCGAGACCACATTCACCAATGCCGATCACTGGACGTCTTTGTACAAGATCTCGAAGACGAAGTAAATCATTACGCGGATGATTATCCAAATACCGTGGATGAATACCGTATGCCTCGTACAGACGAACCTGTAGTTAAGAAGAAAATGAAGGTTTCTATCATTTCTTTTTATATCTTATGAACAATTATAAGAAAAAAAATAAAAGAAAAAATACATGCCTTGTCCTTGAGTGAATCGAGCAGAACCGACCCCCTATTATTCCACATTGATGCTTTATGAATATTGGTAATACCGATGAACTGATGGATGTTGGTCAAACTTTTGATAATGCATGGCCAATCGTTTTTCAATAATCGATCATGAAAATGACCATCGACAAGTGAAATCGATTCGACTAGATGTAATTGATTGCAACTAGAATTGTTGCATGTTCCATTAAATAAATTGTTAGTGCATACATCCTTGATTAGTGATGAACATGATGCAGCAGCCGATGGAGTTGCTCTTTCAACAAAGAGAAAAGCTTCTTTTATTTCTATTTTTTGACTGTCTTCATGCCTATCATTACAAATCATGTAAAATTGAACTTTTTCATCATTCTCGATCTGTTCCTTGCTCTAAGTAACGTTCATTAGAAGTCGCTTTACTTTGCTCGAAACTAAACGTATTCGGATGATCAACGAAATTATACCAAGAAATATTCACATCGTTATTGAGTCGATGCTCTTGGTATATCTGAAGAATTCTTTTAAGAGAAATATTACGGGTAGACCGAAAGCTTCTAGAAAAAACGATGTTTGCTTCTTTTTGCACATCATCAATAGCATTGAAACAGGGTCAAAAACTATGGAATGCCGCTAGAACTTTGTGGTGCCTTCCAAATATGAGCTCAGAAATCTCATTTCAGGTTTTTTTCAG